TATCACCGACAAGAAATCGTGTCGGAAATCAAAAGGAGTCTCATCAGTAAAAATAATTTTCAATTTGAATTATGTCAATGATACATTTGTTGGTGTAAGCCTGCTTGGTAATCCATTTACCAATGTAAATTAAAGTCATGTCGGTAAATTGATCCAAATTACCGCCAAAAGGCATGTCTCTAATTTGTTGTCGGAACCGTACTCTTGGAGTTCATTTTAGGTAAGTCACGTCGGTAAATTGATACAATATTTACTGACTATTAAGAAAGCTAAATTCTTTTGCTGGTTCTATTTCAAAAGATTTCAACTTCAACCCTGTTATATTATTTGTCATAGACTAATATCATCACCTTGCATCCCAGGTTGCCCACATTCCTGGTGCTTGGGGAAGAGAGCATGGATGAAGGAATTTCTCACAATAATTTTGTTAGTACAATGGAGAATCGTGACATGATTTTACTTCGAGATTTCATAACTTTATCCTTAATAGAAATCAATCAAGATGATTATTTGGCATAAGTTCTAATTTTAATTGTCTTATTTATGTAACTTAAATATAGTAAATTCTATTTGTTTAATATTAAAATATAAGTATTTATGTTTTAAAATATGAATAGTTAATTTTTAATCATTAATCTTAAACAAATTATAAAATTAAAGTTATATAAAAATATAATAAAAAAATAGAGTGGGAGTGGCGATTAAGTAAAAAATATTTATTTCAATCATTTTAACATTATATTGGATTAAAAGATTTTTTATAAAAATATCTACTAAATGATTTTTCACTCTGCAAGGACTTCTATAAAAAAATTAATCAAATACTTTCAGTTTCTTAAAAATAACACTTCTACAACAGATTTTCTTTAACAGAATTTCTATTAAAAACTTCAATCACACCAAATAATCTCTTATTCCTTTTCGATTGGTAGGTCTTTTGCCTTCTTTTAGAAATATGCATTTCTCACCTTCTTTTGTGGTTTGCACCTAAGGGTATGGGGGTTCGAACCAACCTTTTATGCAATAAGAGGAATGCTAGCTGCACTCGCCTTTCTCCAGCACTCTCCAACACTCTCTCATATAAAATGTCCACGTAACAAAATTTGGCTCGCTATTCAAAGTTTCCAACTAGAAAAGTTAACGTGGCTATTTTAGATGAGGGAGTGTTGGAGAGTGCTGAAGAAAGGCGAGTGCAGCTAGCATTCCTCATGCAATAATTAATGTTTTGGATTAATTGATCTTGTATCTAATTATTACTAGTTATTGACTTCGGCATGCATATTTGCTGTTTTGGAGTTGGAAAGAAGTCCTTTTCTTCTCCTTAACCCAGGCCCAATCTTCTAATTTAGATGTACTGCATTTTGATAATAGAGTAGCATTTTAGAATCCCAGACTGATCCAAAAAGAGGGATTAATTAATGTTGTCTGTTGAAAGCTTA